ATATAATGTAATATATAATATAATATAGTAATAATATATAATTTAAATATTATATAAGCAATAAAAAATTGTGCTATGTTCGTCAAATTATAAAGCAAAGGGGAAAAGTTTTTATTATCAGTAGGTAAAACGAAATCTCGCTCTCTATATTAGAGAAAGCATCAACCAAATACTATTTGAAAGCCACTCTGTCGTGTTTGGAGGCTGGGGATAATTGAAAAGGATACATATATGGCCGATTGTTGGTAATATGCAATAATACGGCAATATAAATCGGCTTAGATACAACATACGAAATACAAATTGTTCATTATATTGAATAATCATGCAATATTATTTAATATAAAAAAGATATTGTAATTAATCGATTAAAAATTAATTAGTTAATTGAGAAAGTATTACTTTAAAATAAGGAAATAAGAAGAAATAAGTAGTTTCAAATTTAGGATTTAAAGATTTAGTCATATTGCAAATATTAAATTTTAATTTTACATTCTATTATGTATAGCTAAATTTCTCAGCTGTATATTACAAACGCGATTATACTAAAGTTATTTATTAGATTACTAAAGTATCAAGTCTGTTCAATGCACAATTCTTTTTTTCCACGTACTCGGTACGATACATATATATAGTTATTGTATATATATATAGTATATATAGTACATAAGTTTAATTTTCGTTGCAATTAATAGAAAAATCTTACTCGTATACGTACCAATTATCGTATTCTCATCGTTACGGATGAATGCAGTGGTTATTTTCGCGCGCGTCCACAGCTTCTAAATCGTAGATCAACGAAATGTTAGCGCTTTTTCCATCACCGCTTCTTCAATCACGAGAATTCGCGTCGTCGACGATGCAAATCTCGGAATACACCGCACTCGCGTTACAAATTACATTTTGAATCGCACAATTAGGATCACAAAAGGAGCAAAGATTTCTTCGTCCCGATTCGACTCTGATTATTCAAACGCTTCAAAGCATTTGTGACGTCAAATGCATAACCGTTGTTTAGACGATGAGACGCATGCGCCGAAACGTCGTCACTGTGTTCGAAAATGCTACTCATGAGGTACTGTAGTATTGAATTGACCAATCAGGACAAAGAAATCTTTGCTCCTTTTATACAATACTAATTGGTCAATTAAACGCTACTTTACCCTAGATAATTTTCGAACGCACCCTTACCGACGTCACCAACAGGTCCCAAGTCCCAAGTTCCAACCTCCCAACCATAATGTTCTGAAAGTCTATATTGGTCTGAATGGCGGCGGTGAATAATAGCCGGGTTAATCCTCGTACGCGTGTACTGTCAAGTGAATTTTTCTCTTTACTACAATAAAAAGATGGAGCGCTTATTATTGAATCTGCTCGTGTCTGATAATGCCATTATACAACAGGTTTGTAAATCTTTATTCGCTTGCAAGGATTTGTCAAATCGGTCGGATGTAGTAATAATGAAAACACGTGTTTCGTTCCGTTTGAATTGCTTTTAAACAAAATATGAATTAAAAGATTATATCCAATATTCGTTTAATTTTCTCTCTCGGTTGTATGTGCAGAATTCTCTTCTCGATCTGATTGCACTATTCGCAAAATAATTTCTACACACTTGTACACTCATATTATTATTTTAGTGTATTATAATTATTAATTATTATTATTTATGTGTATATGTGCAATTAGACTCAAAGTGTTTCTTATAATAATAATTGCCTATTGTCATTTTACTAATCCAAAATAATATTTTATATTTTATTTCAGGCAACTGTGGAACTTAAAAAAGTTCTTCAGAATTCAGACAATATACCAACTTTGTGCCAACTTATAGTGACCTCGGCGAATCCAGAGGTTTGTTTTTAGACAGAATTAAATTGATTTTCGTATACTCTTCTTTCAATAAATATGTGATAGAAAATATATATTTAGGTAAGGCAATATGCAGCTCTTATTCTTAGAAGACGATATACTAAAGGAAAGAATTGGATAAAATTATCTGAACCTATACGTAGCGAAGTTAAAAAAATTATTTTACAGGTGAGAAATTTATTTATTTATTTATTATATATTATATCTTAATGGTTTAAATCATAAATTTTTATATCATTAATAAGATTATTTAAAAATATTTTAATATTTCTAGGTATACATATTTCTTAGATATTTTAAATTATTTCATAAATTTGTATTGCTTTTTGACAATACAACATGAATTTTAGTTAAAATATAAATTCTATACAATTTTATTTGCTGTTATATGATACGAAGCAAAGATATTAAAGAGAATTCAAGATCATAATTTAACATTTCTAATTATATAATTATTTCAATTCTTTCTTAATATATCTACTATATTTTTTTTCAGGCTTTAGGAAACGAATCAGTAAAGTCTGTTAGAACTAGTATAGCTCAGTTAGTAGGTGTCATTGTTAAGCATGAATTACCTACCAATAGTTGGCCAGAAGTTATACATTACGTACAACAATTAGTCATTAGTGAAAATATGGAAATTAAAGAGGTAAGTAAAATATCAATTTTTATCAAAATGATATAAAGTATATGATATAAAAAAAGTATATTTTAATAAAGGTTTATAAACTATTTTAATTTGGTATTTCAAAAGTTTGCCAATTATTTTATGATATCAAAAATTTTTTTCTAGCTAGGCCTCCATACTTTATCGATTATGACAGAAGTTACACCAGATGCCTACACTTCACATGCTAGATCTTTGGCGCTGCTTCTTGCTCAGACATTGAATAGTCTTCAGAATTTGGGACAGCCAGTTGCTGTTTTTGTTTTGAATACAATGCGACATCTTATTCCTGTAGTTAAACACGATGAAGTTGTTAGTATTATGTGATAAATTGTTATTTCGAATCTTGATGCAAAATATTGAAGAAAATATGTTCAATTTCAGATTATAAATACTTATGTTAATATGATGCCTCGTGTAATGGCCACAATTCAGGCTTTAACTGAAGCGTATCACGAAGACATGGCTGTTCAAAGCTTTGAATTGCTGGACGAATTGTGTGAGAATGTGATTGCTGTGATAACACCTCATGTCAAATCTCTTGTCAATATGTGCCTTGCAATCATCGCTAATGAATCTTTAGATTATCTCATAAAAGTTAGAGCAATTAGTTTTATTGGCTGGCTAGCGAGGATAAAGAAAAAGGCTCTTGTAAAGCATAAATTAGTGGAACCGATCGTCGGTAAGTGATCTTAATATTTGTATTAATATGTTTGTTTAGCGCGCGTTGACAAGGACGTTTAATTATTTATTTTGTTTACAGATATGTTATTCGTAGTTATGAAGACTCGGCCAGATAATGATAGTGATGATGATTATATAAATACAGAAAGCGAGAATACTGTTTTAACGAGTAGTACTCAGACCTTAGACTTACTCGCGTTGCACTTGCCACCAGAGAAATTACTTCCACATTTGGTAAGTTTCAAAGTAGTTTATTAATATTATTATAACATCAGAAATTTTTATAATTATGTGTTTGATAATATATACACGTTATTCTTAATTTCTTTTAAAATAGTATAAATAAAATTATTGCTTTGAAAATTATAATTTGTAAAATTATGTTATATAGCATTTTGATGTCATGCAACTCTATTAACATTGATTGGATATTTTTTAAATGCATTTCTCATTCATAAATTATTGATGCGATTATTTTGTGTTTATTATATTCATGAAATCAAATCTAAGATAAAGAGACATTAATCTTACAGTTACGACATATCGAACCCGGATTTCAAAGCACAGACATATACATGAAGAAGGCGTCGTATGTAGCAATAGCTGTATTAGCGGAAGGTTGTGCCGAATATATTCGTTCAAACTATCTTGAGTTCTTCCTACGATGTATCTGTCAAGGAATTACCGATTCCTCACCTACAGTGCGCAACGCCGCGCTTTACGCCTTAGGACAATTTTCCGAACACTTGCAACCAGAGATTTCGCAATACTCGTCCGAACTGTTACCTGTATTATTCGAATATCTAAATCAGGTCTGTTTGTATATTAAACAAGAGAAAAAAGAACCGCATGCGATCGGCCGTATGTTTTATGCTCTTGAGATGTTCTGCGAGAATTTGCACGAAAGCATCCTGCCATATTTACCCAAGCTCATGGAGAGGCTACTCAATATCTTGAACGCGGATACGTCGGCGAACGTGAAAGAATTCACTCTAAGTGCCGTAGGTGCCGCCGCCTGTGCCAGCAAGGAGCATATGCTACCGTATTTTGAAACAATCATCAACATTCTTAATGATTATCTTACCGCAGAAGCGACTACAGAGAACATGTGTCTTAAAGTTCAAGCAGTTGGTTAGTAAACAAAATGATTAATTATTTAATTAATTTTTTGATAATTATTCAATAAAATTATATTTATATATTCGTTATTTCAGATACTCTCGGAGTAATTGCTAGATCGATAGGTGAAAAACACTTTGCGCCATTAGCGGAAACCTTCCTCAATCTTGGAATAAAATTGCTAAGAAGTACAGACGATCCAGACGTGCGGAAATCTCTTTATGGATTGTTCGCCGCTATTAGCACAGTAGTGAAGAAGGACATGGCTATAGTGTTACCAGAACTTGTCGAATATATGATAATGAGTATAACGAGTTCAGATGGAATTTTGGTGAATATTGCGAGAATCATGATATTCGAGAACATTAAGATGAAAATTATACGATGCAATTAATATTATTGTTGCAGATGCACTTCAAAGATGAGGCTAATGCGCTTGCAGTTTACGATGATCTCAGCGAAACTGAAAATGAAGAAGAAGAAGACATTGACCACACCGATAACGAAGACGATGATGAGGATGTAGAAGGTTATAGCGTTGAAAATTCTTATATGGAAGAGAAAGAGGAAAGTGTAATGGCCTTGAGAGAAATCGCCGAATACACAGAGTAAGTCTTTCAGTTTTCAAAAGCTTTAGTTAGTAATTGGATAATTAGTTATACTTAACGAGAATATTGTTACATTTTACAGAGAGGCGTTCATGCCGTATCTCGAAAGATGTTTTGAGGAGATTTTTAAATTGATCAATTACCCTCAAGAAGACATACGTAAAGCGAGCATAGAGGCTTTGTTACAATTCTGTCTTAATTTCTCGAAAATCAATACCGATGAAGGCAGAAAAGCTTTGTTGAAAGCTCTTTCCATGTTTATCCCAAAATTGTCGGAACTGATAAGATTAGATGAAGAAACGCCGGTCGCCATTTGCGGTTTAGAAGCATATATGAAACTTTTAAAAGAAATCAAATCAGATGTTATCTTTGGTGTAGGTCATAAAGAAGCTATAGTAAATTGCGTAGTTGATGTGCTAACAGGTATTTACAATCTATATTTCTATATATATATTATGTTTTGATAAATCGGATGTATCTTGAATTACAACGTTTATTGCAGGCAGGACAGCATGTCAAGACGAAGAGGAAGTCGAGGGCGCTGATATTGAAGCAGAACAAGATGAATTATTAGTAGAATGTGCGGGAACTACATTATCTAGTTTAGGAAGAGTGATTCCGCCAGAAGACTTTGCGCTCTACTTTCAGACTGCGTTGCCTCTTCTCCTAAAAAGACTGGTATTATTATTGATTTCTCTGCCTGCACTTCTTCGAAAATTCGCAATTTCAATGTTTCAGCTGAGCCAAATGTTTTCAGAAAATGGACAATTCCGAGGCACAGAGATCTTTTGCTGTTGGTACAATCGCAGAATGTTTCCCAGGACTGAAGCACATGACAGCTATGTTTATCCAGCAATTACTTTCGACTCTTCTACAAACTGGAACCCAAGATCCCTGTGGTGAAGTTCGTAGTAATTGCTTCTTTGGAATTGGAGAACTGGTTTTTTATGGGAAAGAAACAGTTTACCCGTATCCTTTGTAGCTAATATTTAATAGTAATTGAGTATATAATGTTATATATTTTTAAGTTTGAAAATCATTTGATATTATTATTTGATATTTAACAATATTTTCTTATATTGAAAATTCGAGTGTAGTATTTTGAAATTGACAAGAAGTATCAGAAGAATTATTAAACTTTTCTTTCTTTTCTATAATTAAAATCTCAAAAACATTACAGAACACATAAATTATTATTCTACACAATTTTATTATATATATATAGAATAAAATACGATTCAAAAATTTTTATAATTATTACATAGCATATTTTTATGGAATTAATTAGACAAATATAATTTTGTTATTGGTATTTCTTAACAATTATTATACAGACATTATCCTCAGATTTTAGCAACTCTGTCATGTGCAATTGCAAAAGAAACAGATGCGGCCGCACGTGATAACGTGGTTGGAGCGATTGCACGGCTTATTATCACAAATTATTCAAATTTACCTCTCGAGCAAGTATTTCCAGTTTTTGTTCAACAGTTACCTTTAAAAGCAGATTTTCAGGAGCATAAAGCTGTATTTAGAAGTATTCTTACATTGTATCAAGCCGGACTCGCTATCCTACAATCTCATATCCGTACATTGTTGAAAGTTGCAGTTGTTATATTACACGAAGACAAAGCTATGGACGATGGTAAGTTTATACAACAATAATAAACATTTTAAAAATATTTTTAAAAGATCTATGGAGGCGCTTTTATCTTTTTCAACTTGTATCTCTAAAAAGATCACACAAAATATAGTACGAAAATAATGCACTTCCCCATGTAATTTTTAAAAAATTATTTAGTTTATCGAACATCGAACACACAAATCGCTTCTTTATTGAATTATAATATTTCTTCACAGAAACACGAAATCTTACCATGGAATTCATCAAATCTGCTCAACGAGATTTTGTGGACGACTGGAATGCAGTCTTCACCGAATTGCCTCCAGGAGCTGTCGCAAAAATTCAACGCATGTTTTCTTAATTTAAAGGATTAATTATGCAATTTAAAATTGTGTAAGTTAATTTAAGTATCGATTTACAATGACTTCATCGCATCTCATTTTATATCGTCATTTTTTCTTTGCAATTCGGATTCTATTGCGAAGTAATATATAATAAACTAGATACGAAACGGTAATAAATAATAAATGCAATTGATTAAATACATGTTTCTATTTATTTTATAGATAAATATTTATTATTTTTTTCTGTTTCTTTTTTGTTTATTATAATTTCTATTTTGTTTCAATAAAAAATTTTTTTGGCTTTATATACACAGTTTTAGCCTGTTTTGTGACTCTGATTCAATAAATGAAATAATTTATGTTATCTTAATTAGTATGTAATTTGTTATTTTTATAATAGGAAATACATCAAAATAGTCTTCAGATTATAAATAGGTAGAATAGAAACTTGTATGTAGCAATATGAGAGAAATTCTAAATCTCTGAGATTCGAGAAAATATTTGAATTTGGGCTTACAAGTCATAAAAATATGTCAATAAATTTCTTGAATCTTTGATGGACTTATTGGATTTACAATATATAGAAAAAAAACTATATATAGATAGATAAAACTTAAACTCATTTTTTATTTTTTGATAATTGTATAAATAAAAAAATCGGTTAACATGCACAAAAGCGCAAATTCGTTTAAAAGAATATGAACAAAAAGTCCTTCTAATTGAAAATTGAATGGATATACACGTTTCAACTGATAGGCATTAATGCTAATGAACGGATTATCATCTTTGCGTCGTATCTTTTTTCTTTTTGTTAGTAAACAAAAGTCTAACGTATCACATGTAGACATTGAAAATAAATGTGTACTATGTGACTAATAAAAGCCTTTTATCATATGCTTTTTATAAAAGCTATGAATTTTTTTCCCGCGCTTATATCTTTAAAACGCATTTTAAGATAATAGATTTTATACGCTATGTTCAATCTAAAAATAAACCGTGTTTTTTTTACAAAATTATTAAAATTATTTTCTTTTATTAATTAATTCTCATTTGTTTTAAATAAATAGCTTTTTCTAGGTAAATGAATAGCATTTTCTAAATAAATAAATATTATATATATGTATTATTTATTTCTATACTATTAATCGCTTTGCGAAAATAATGTTTTATAGACAACCCTCTCTTTCTCTCTATATAATCGGTACATTCGAGTGCATTAAAGCGCACAACGCGTGAAAAAGATAAAATAAAATTCCTAATGGGCATCACAGGATTTCCGTACGGCGGTTGATATCAAGCATGATATCTATCGTCGTTTTATCAAAAGGCAGTAGATAACTCTACGGCCAATCGACTTCTTAAAAGCCCCTCATTAAATACTGGTCGCAACTTCTGAGTAACATGTTCACTCGAGTCGAACGATACGGTTCGCGCTTTTTTGTGACACGTCGCGAAAATTGTTGGAACTTACGATAAGCTGCTAATAAAGACAGCCAAATGTGCGTTTATGTGCTGTGGTTTTTTGTTTCTCTGCATCATTTACATCGCGTCTAACGTAGATTGCGATAGTGGTCGCTCTATAGATCTTCTAAAAGCAATAGTTGACAGCAAATGAGTTTTTCCATGTTTTTCACGTTCGATAAGAAATGTCGAATATCAGTGACAAGTATCTCATTAAATAAGCTTTCATTGAATCACCTGCAAATAAATATATAATTACGAATCCAACTCATCATCAAGTCAAGAATCGTATGCAGGATGTTCTAAAAAAGGTGTGTCCATATATGTGTGCGTGCAGTGTTTTATATGTGTATGAATATCCGAAATTAGACAGAATCAACATTAGCTTAGATTTCTATATATTATAACAATTTTGGATATCTTGAGAGAGTCTCGACGCTTTAAATATTTTGTTTTTTAAAAGATTTAATTGACTATATCTTTTTCAAATTAAATGCGATAATAATCTTTAATTGCTCGTGGTATAACTATATGTTATACTTGACATTTTATCTAATGTTTTTATACATATAATTTGTTTTAGCTATTGATCATTTCACAAGCCACATATATAAAAACCATTAGACGCAAATAAAATTTTGCGTGCAATGAATAAAATATAAAAAGAAAAAGATTTGGTAATGTTTTAAATAATTTTGGAAAAATTTTGTACACACACACGGTAGATTTCTCTTACAAAATTGAATATACATACATGTACACGTGTATATAAATATATATATATATATATCGTGCCAAAAGGCAATCTGATTATATATTATTATACTTATCGCGCTCGTATATATGTAAAATCTATGTCATTGTCAGGCTCTTTTAATTAACACTAGATAATTGAGGTCAACCTAGCTTCTTTCTACATGAAAAATCGCACGGCTGTGAAAATTGACATCAAAAGTGTAAAATCTTCACGTGGCATCCAGCAACGGTTTCGTTTGACGATTTCGTTATTAACATTATTCCCTACATGATAAATTCACGCACACCTCGAAATCTATCGCCCGATCAAGTATGGTATTTTACGCATGAATGAAAATTAATGCCCAGCAGCCTATTCTTCAGATAAAGATCTTGCAAACATTTGTCAACCTTTATTCGTAATACGTATTTAAAGCAATTAAGAAATCGTTTCTTCGAATGTCCATGTTATTTGACAGATATTTTGAATATTTTTCTCAAGGATCTAATCTCGATGTTCAATATAAAGATTTTTGATTTTCAATTTTTATAAATATATTATTATAGAATATTTCTTATTTCTCAACGTTTGATTAAAACAATGAAATTTTTTAACAATATAATATTCTTGCGGTTATGATTACTTTAATAAATCAATAATTTACGATTGATAAAAGTATCATCTATTTATTTTAGCATTTTGGATTTTTAAAAATTAGAGAAAAATTGTGATTTAATGAAATTATGTATCACAATTATGTATAACGCCTATAATAAATTAACATTGTAAAAACAATCGATTGTGATGCTCTATGTTTTCAAAATCTCGCGATCATTGCACAATAGCTCTCTCTGAACAATCGCGATCGCGGACGAATTTCCGCGCGCAACGACCTTTCGACCTTCCGAACGAGACGGCGCGGCGGAAGTCGTAAAAAAGTATCATTGAATCTGATTGAAACTTCGATAGAGAGTGCAATATTGTTGCGTGCGTGCCGAGACGTGATGCCGGCGCGAGAGACCTTGGGGCCTCCACCATGACTCGAATCGAAAAAGAACCGTGGGTGTACGACCCGCTCATCGTCGCACCTGCTGAGCTTGCTACGGCGATATCGGCGGTGGAAAGTGGTCTCTCTCGTCGAACGAAAGTAGTTTATTGCGGGAAACACGCCGATGAGTTTTCGTGCGCGCCTCCGAATAACGTGTATTACCTGCTGAAAGAATCGTCGTGTATATCACGATCTATCGGTGAATCGAAAATCGTTAGCTGGCTGACTTTTCATACTGAATTGGAGGAAGAATCGATTAATAGGTAGATATTGAGAAAAGCGAAGTTTAATTGTCGACGCCAAAAGAAAATCGATTTATTGACAATTGCATTTGCGATGATAAATTAAAAATTAATTGCTTAGAATATAGTTGTTTCACTAATCGAAATATGCAGGCTAATCTGCGATTTTAATTTTTGTAATGAATCCTCTAACGAATTCAAAGTCGAGAATTTCTTAACAAGAATGTCATGAAAGAAGTCATTATTTATCGTAATTTTTCAATTTTTATTATATGTGTGTGAATCACTTGATAGAAATGTATTAAATTTATTGAGTAGCGACAAGCTATAATTATTTTCTGAAATGCAAATAAACTGTTTTTTTAATTTTTTATTGTCAATCGAAGATTAATTGTTAAGTTTCTTTGATTGACAGTAAAAATGAGTTAGAAAACGCTTATTTTTGCATCACAGAAAGTAATTGTAATTTGTCACTCGACAAAGTTAATGCTCATCTATCAAGCGCTTAATTAAGCATCTATCATGTACGTGACACTAATGAGTGTGCTTTTGGTGATTAATTCAGTAAACCTTTCAATCAAAATAAATCAATAAATAATAGGCTTGTAGACGCTCGACATGTAGCTCGGAATTCAATTGAATCATCCGCCGTGATAATCGATTGATAATTTTAATATTTATTTCTACCGTTTCGCCGCCGACGAAACGACCCATTAAACACGTCCTTTTTCGAACAGACAGTAATCGTTCGCTAATCGTTTAAATTCTTAAATACCGATACTCGATTTGGCCGATCCGGAAGGAATAAAAACAGCAGGATGTAATTAACAGAACTCGAAAGTTACCGTCTCTGACGTCTGAAGCGCGATCGCCAAAAAAGATTACACATATATACGTATCATTACATAAACCAAGCATTATTACACACAGCTATTAACATTAAATTGGACATTACATTCCAAAAACTAACCAAGGCCTATCTCCTTATTATGTTAGCATTTAACAGCCGATCTCTCTGACTTACCAAAATCACACACGCATTGTTGTACGATTATTAAGATCACTATATGTCTATATCAATACTATATCAATACTAGCTATATCATTGCTCAAGACTCTATTATTATTATTGTTTATCGGCCGATCTTGACAATCACGGTTCGCGTATAGACCATATAGACCGTAAATCCTTTACGATATGAGCTATCGTGTGATTATTTTTGAAGACATGTTACGCTACAACGTCGGTAGTAAAAGATGCACCGAGCGTGAATACACTGGAGAAAGTGCCGTCGCATGGACAATGAAAAGGTTCGTGGTGACCAGCGAAAAATGTTTCACCGCAGTGTGGCATAACTGGAAATGAAAATATTTCCTTGACTCCATTGTAGATTTCACTTCTTCCATTCGTCTACAATTTACTAACTGTAAACTACGTTAGAAGCGTGCCTTGTTGCATTATCATAATAAAATGATGTAATTTGATTAATATGTAATATACGATTAAGTAGCAAAGATACATCTAAAACATAATTTAACATCTTGTTAAATATGGCATCTCTCGATACTTACACGATATCAATCAATTATTATAATAATTTGCAGTTTGAAATCATGTAAAATTTTCTATTAAAATAATTCTTAATTAAAAAAATTATGTTGGAACATAATAAAATGAAACATTTATTAACGTGGTAATAAGCGAAAGATAATATTTTACGAAATATTCTGGGAAGAAGAGATGGTAAACATAGCACGCAATTTATTTTTAATCCCTAATAGCGTTCTCGGTATAAAGTGCTTCGTAATTCTGCAAAAGCCGTGCATGTGTTATCGGCTGGCAAAAATATCTACCTATTTTTCGATCAATTTCGGCTATCTCT